GCCGTACATCCTCTCTCTGACACCCCCTAACATTATCTCTCTCTCTCTCTCTCTCTCTCTCTCTCTCTCTCTCTCTCTCTCTCTCTTCCATCTTGCCCTCATAGTTTATCTGCTAATTATACAGTATGCAAATGAAAGGTTCAAAAAACATATCCACACGTTATATTTTTTTCAGCAACACTGGAACATATAATGGGGTGATTATAATCTATCTATCTATCTATATCTATCTATCTATTGTCTATCTATCTGTCTGTCTATCTATCTTTCTGTCTATCTATCTGTCTATCTATCTGTCTGTCTATCTATCTTTCTGTCTATCTATCTGTCTGTCTTTCTGTCTATCTATCTATCTTTCTATTTATCTATATATCTATCTATATTCCTATCAATTTATCTATCTATATATTTCTTTGTATGTCTGTCTATCCTATGCTATCCATCGGCCTATCTGCCTGTCACTTGTCTGTCTGTCTATGTAACTATTTCCACCTTTTTAGTAATCTTCCCATTTAGACATAAGGATCAAGTAAATCCTATATCAAACAGCCTTACTAGACCTCCATGTCGCTTCATAAGACGTGTTTGTTGACATTTCATTGTTTATACTGGATTGTAACTCTCACCCCAGCCGCTAGAGGTCCTCCATGTCGCTTCATAAGACGTGTTTGTTGACATTTCATTGTTTATACTGGATTGTAACTCTCACCCCAGCCGCTAGAGGTCCTCGTTGTCGCTTCATAAGACGTGTTGTTGACATTTCATTGTTTATACTGGATTGTAACTCTCACCCCAGCCGCTAGAGGTCCTCTATGTCGCTTCATAAGACGTGTTGTTGACATTTCATTGTTTATACTGGATTGTAACTCTCACCCCAGCCGCTAGAGGTCCTCTATGTCGCTTCATAAGACGTGTTGTTGACATTTCATTGTTTATACTGGATTGTAACTCTCACCCCTGCCGCTAGAGGTCCCCTATGTCGCTTCATAAGACGTGTTGTTGACATTTCATTGTTTATACCGATTGTAACTTCACCCCAGCCGCTAGAGGTCCTCTATGCGCTTTGATAAGGACGTGTTGTTGACATTTCATTGTTTATATCTGGATTGTAACTCTCACCCCAGCCGCTAGAGGTCCTCTATGTCGCTTCATAAGACGTGTTGTTGACATTTCATTGTTTATACTGATTGTAACTCACCCCAGCCGCTAGAGGTCCTCTATGTCGCTTCATAAGACGTGTTGTTGACATTTCATTGTTTATACTGGATTGTAACTTCCACCCCAGCCGCTAGAGGTCCCCTGTGTCGTTTCAGAAGACGTGTTGTTGACATTTCATTGTTTATACTGGATTGTAACTCTCACCCCAGCCGCTAGAGGTCCTCTGTCGTTTCAGAAGACGTGTTGTTGACATTTCATTGTTTATACTGATTGTAACTCTCACCCCAGCCGCTAGAGGTCCTCTGTATGTTTCATAAGACGTGTTGTTGACATTTCTCATTGTTTATACTGGATTGTAACTCTCACCCCAGCCGCTAGAGGTCCTCTATGTCGTTTCATAAGACGTGTTGTTGACATTTCATTGTTTATACTGGATTGTAACTCTCACCCCAGCCGCTAGAGGTCCTCCATGTCGCTTCATAAGACGTGTTTGTTGACATTTCATTGTTTATACTGGATTGTAACTCTCACCCCAGCCGCTAGAGGTCCTCGTTGTCGCTATGGAGAATACTGTCGATATTGCAATGGTAATAGATGACTCTTTAGCTCTTTTCCACTCCCCGACTCATGTTACCGACATACATAATGAGTTACATACATACATACATACAGACTCTAAGGAGTCACGTAAAGATTAGACACCCCAAATTATTTCGCTCTAAGATTAAGCCCTCTTATCAAACCTGACCTAATCTAACTTGACCTGACATAACTTAACGCTAACCTAACCTAACCTGACATAACTTAACGCTAATCTAACCTGACCTGACATAACTTAACGCTAATCTAACCTGACCTGACATAACTTAACGCTAACTTAATCTAACTTAATATAATCTGACCTTACCTAACCTAACTTGACACAAACTAATATTACCTACAGTAGCTTAACCTAACCTATTCTAACCGAACTTAACCTAACCAAACCTAACGCCCCCCACCAGATAGTGTTAACGTGTCTAATCTTCAGGTGAAATAAGCTGGGGTGTCTAATCTTCAGGTGAAATAAGCTGGGGGTGTCTAATCTTCAGATGAAATAAGCTGGGGGTGTCTAATCTTCAGGTGGAATAAGCTGGGGTGTCTAATCTTCAGGTGGAATAAGCTGGAGGTGTCTAATCTTCAGGTGAAATAAGCTGGGTGTATCTAATCTTCAGGTGAAATAAGCTGGGGTGTGTCTAATCTTCAGGTGAAATAAGCTGGGGTGTCTAATCTTCAGGTGAAATAAGCTGGGTGTATCTAATCTTCAGGTGAAATAAGCTGGGGTGTGTCTAATCTTCAGGTGAAATAAGCTGGGGTGTCTAATCTTCAGGTGAAATAAGCTGGGGTGTCTAATCTTCAGGAAATCCATTGTAAGAAGTAAAACAGGTATCGAGAGTTACCTGTCACGATCACTCCCAGGTGAACTAAACCAACAGGTGACTCATTAACTGATTACAGAACGCAGAAGAGGATTTAGTATATAATTATCTTTTTCCTTAACTAAGTCAAATTAAAAATGGCCTTACGTGACTTTGAAGCCAAAAAAAAAAAAAAAGAAAATGCAAAAGAAAAATGCACAAAGGATATATAATTCATTCTACATAACTCAACTTAATTAAATGTATGTGATTAACTATTTATGTCTTAGTTAAGTAGTTAAAAACATAAAGAATTAACTCTCCGTGACTCCCAAACGCAACACAACGATACATTATGATAAGGACGAAAATTAAACGAATTCTACCTCGTTATTGGGAGAGTTTTGTCGTGGCTCCCAACACGTTCTGGTAATAACTCACACGTCTTATCTTCCCAGAATTATCGATCGATCCCGTTAGATAGTGTTCAAGTAGTTTATTGTTTATTATGAATTCATGTTATTATTTTACTTTAGTCGTGGGTGGTGAGGGATAGTAGTGGGTGGTGAGGGATAGTAGTGGGTGGTGAGGGATAGTAGTGGGTGGTAAGGGATAGTAGTGGGTGGTGAGGGATAGTAGTGGGCATTGTTAATAGACCTCAGTCCCAATAGACCCTAGTGTTAATAGACCTCAGTCCTAATAAACCCTAGTGTTAATAGACCTCAGTCCTAATAGACCCTAGTGTTAATAGACCTCAGTCCTAATAGATGATAGAAGATATGTTATTACAACTAGGGGAGATGGGGCCGATTAGGAACTCTGGCCTAAAGGATTGGGGCCCAGTAGGCTTTACCTTGACCGATCTGAACCAGAACTTTTAAGACGGTGACCCATTAGGACTACTGGCCCCAACTGGGACTGAGACTCATTAGAACGGACCCATTAGAACTGAGACTCATTGGACCTTGGCCCCAATAGGACTAGGACTCATTAGAACTTGGACCCATTAGAACTGAGACTCATTAGACCTTGGACCCAATAGGACTAGGACTCATTAGACCTTGGACCCATTAGAACTGAGACTCATTAGACCTTGGACCCATTAGAACTGAGACTCATTAGACCTTGGACCCATTAGAACTGAGACTCATTAGACCTTGGGACCCATTAGGACTTGTATAACACTAGGCAAGACGACCTTCACGTTATCTACTGAAGGTGGCGTGAGTGAATGACAGAGACGAGGGCGTGTTATCTACTTGGTCACTCTGTCTTGGTCGAAGTGACGTACTGCCGAGGTCTCAAAACACAGGTCCTTCTGTCTATTTATCTGTCTGTCTGTCTGTCTGTCTTTTATTCGATGATTTTACAGAAATATCTATCTATCTATCTATCTATCTATCTATTTATCTATCTGTAATTCAACTTATATATATATTTGCATGTAGTGTATAGGGAGAGGGTGAGAAGGGAAAGGAGGAAGGAAGAGAGAGAAGTAGAGGGAGATAGGGAAGAAAGGAGAGAGGGGAATGGGGAGAAAGGAGAGGATAAGAGAAGAGAATAATAATAACAACAAACACACAGGAGAATGGAAGTAGACAAGACAACGTATGATAAACAATGTAGACAAGACAACGTATAATAAACACTGTAGACAAGACAACGTATAATAAACAATGCAAGACAACGTATGTTCTCTCGCTGTTGACTCTATCATCTGTTACTGTGGATTCATTTTTGGGTTAAATTCATCCTTCTGAGCCTCATCCGTCAATCCATTAATCCATCTATTGTCTACCACCTCTCTCTCTCTCTCTCTCTCTCTCTCTCTCTCTCTCTCTCTCTCTCTCTCTCTCTCTCTCTCTCTCTCAGCTCCTTACATCACTCGTCGCCCTTCGTTCCCGGGAGTTTATCAAGTTATTATTGTCTCTTCACCCCTTCTCAGGTCCGTGGGTCTATATGTTGGTTAGGTTAGGTTAGGTCACATTGAGTTATGTTAGGTTAGATTACGTTAGGATAGGTTAGATTAGATTATTTGAGGGATAATGTGTTTATTTAATCATTTAGTGAAATAAGCTGGGGTGTCTAATCTTCAGGTGATCTGGGGTGTGTAATCTTCAGGTGATCTGGGGTGTGTAATCATCAGGTAATCTGGGGTGTGTAATCATCAGGCAATCTGGGGTGTGTAATCATCAGGTAATCTGGGGTGTCTAATCATCAGGTAATCTGGGGTGTCTAATCTTCAGGTAATCTGGGGTGTGTAATCATCAGGGTAATCTGGGGGTGTCTAATCGTCTAATCATCAGAGTAATCTGGGGTGTCTAATCATCACATAAGTACACAGACACACACACACATAGACACATAAATATACACACACACACACACACACACACACACACACACACACACACACACACACACACACACACACACATGCCTCACCTCTTAAAAGTATGTTGGTGATGTTGCTGGTGGTGAGTCGCTCCTGTTGTGGGAGGTGTAATAAGGAAGCACCACCACCGCCCTCCTCCAGAAGTCGTCGACGGTGATGAAGGTGTGTGTAATGACCTCAGCCTCTGGGGTCGGGCGGGGGATGTGGGGGCAGGTGTGGTAGAACAAATTAATTCCCCTCAAATTCCCCTTAAATTCCCCTCAAACTCCGCTCTATAGCTCTACTTCTGCTCGCTCTATCTAGTCCCTCGCGACATCTCCTCAGTGTGGCGTTTTACCTCAACACTCACACGATGGGAAGGAATTTTTTCATTATTGGATTTATTATCACATTTTGTGTATTATTTTCTCTGTGAGTTACGTGAGTGACAGTATATGCGTTGGTGAGTTACGTCTTGGCACAGGGTCACTTGTCACTTATACACTAAATTGGCACTTTTTTAGGTATGTGGTTTTGGTTTTTTATAGGTAGTCAAGCAACGTTGAGTACCTGTGCATCCTAGTTCACTGCACACTGACTACTGAACCAACTTACGTGGCTGATATCGTGAGCGTGACGTGAACCTCAGGATATTTTTTTTTTCATATTTTTTCGTTCATTTGTCATCACAGATAGATGTCCTGTGCTTTTGGGAAATTTTACAAATCACTTGAGATTTAAATGTTTGTAATAGTTATTTCCTTAATGACGCTTGTTAATTTAAGTGAGAAATGATATCCCAGTCTGTAGTGTGTTTCTCATCAGCTGTGAACGATACTCTCAGGTAATTCTCGGGGTCTCAGCGTGAACACAGGTGAACAGAGGTTTGTTGTTTGCCCTCACTATGCCAACCAGGGGGATCACCGCGCTGCCAGACGGACGATTCTATTTATGCTGCCGCTCACCTCAGGTAAAGTATCTTACAAAACATTTCCAATACTCCCATGACGTCTTTCAAGAACACAAGTGATCAGTACTTTACCGCATTTTTATTTCGTACTACCAATTGATGTAAATGATCAAATAATCACAATACCTTATATAATGTGTGTGTATTTATATCATTTGAACACCTTGATATTAATGCGGAACGGAGACAGAAAACACCGCAAGATTGAATCAATGGCTGACGATAAAACAAGCGGCTGGTACTGTAGGCAAAACATAATCCAATCCACTGAAACGAATCAACTATACTACATAATACACTTCAATATAAACTGTATCATAAACGAGTATCTTAATAATTTTCGCCTCTATTACGTTGTTGTTATAGAAACGGCATCAATGAACCAAATACGAGTAGACTCACACTTACTGTTATTGATTTTTACCTGTACTGAAACATCACCTGGAGACACCTGGCATATGCTTCCTCCCGTCAAGCAGGTCAGTCTCTAATAATAGTCCATGACACGACCACGAGTCATTTATGGCCTCACAGCTACTCTTAAAATTCCTCATGTCACTTCAGATTTTCCTTATGGTAACTCATAATCTGGTGATGGGTTTTCAGATTCCCCTCATGGTAACTCATAATCTGGTCATGGGTTTTCACATTTTCCTCATCGTAACTCATAATCTGGTCATGGGTCTTCACATTTCCCTCATGGTAACTCATAATCTGGTCATGGGTCTTCACATTTCATTCATGGTAACTCATAATCTGGTCATGGACATTACTGTGTTATATCACTCGTGTGTGTGTGTGTGTATGTGTGTGTGTGTGTGTAACAATTTTAAACTGAATAAACATATGTCTGTCTGTTTATCTACCTACCCTTCTCACTATCTGTCTGTCTCTGTCTTAACTTGCAAATCCTGAAGTACTTGCTCGTAAGATCGGGAGCGCATGTGCCTTAAAATTGAGAACATATACTTATAAAATCGGAAACAATCGTAAGTTTTCTTGTAAAATCGGGAACTTACTTGTGAAATCGGGAATTTGTTCGTAAAATCTACAACACTTGTTTGTAAAATTGGGAACTTGCTTTTAAAATCGGGAAATTTCTTACAAAATCGGTAAATTACTTTTAAATTGTAAACTTGCAAAATCAGGAACATAGGTGTCAAATCGGAAACTTGCTTGTGAAATCGGGAAGTTCGTAAAATTGGCAACACTTGCTTGTGAGCTAAAGTACCGCACCAAAAAAATTAACTAGATTACGGAGGAACTTAACTTAAATAATTAAAAAAATTAACTCCTTGAGTACGATTGCAATTAGCTGAATACAGTATCATCGTATTCCAAGGGTTAAGACAACGTACTCAAGGGACTATATCATTGTACTCAAGAAGGTATGATGCACTCAAGGGATTAATATATGTTTCTCAATAGGATACTTCATCGTACTCAAGGGTTAGTATCGTACTCGAGGGTTGGCATTGTACTCAAGGGGATATAATCTTGAAGTGTTGAACAGTGAACGGGGAGGAGGGGGGGTCTTAGGTGACAGGTGGTTAAATGGTGGTTCATTCAAGGTCTCTCTCACACACACACACACACACACACACACACACACAGACACACACACAGACACACACAGACACACACACAGACACACACACACACACACACAGACACACACACACACACACACACAGTTCTATGTCAGTACAGATATGCTGAGTCGATTACTGTGTATTTCTTAAACATATTTTATTTAACTCTATACGTGATGAATTTCAATTAAATCAACAACAAGAAATACCTGTCTCCTTATATCCAGGTAACACAGGTAGGATATCACAGCGTTACCCCTATTAGGTTACTCGTCTTCTAAGTAAGTGTGTTTATATAACTGTTCAAAGAAAACTATGTTCTTATGTATAACGCAAATAGATATATAGACCCCATACTATGCCATTCCATTCAACATCCTGAGTTTCGATAGATAGATACGTATTAAGTATAGACAATGCAGGTATATAGTTCAGCATGTATATAGACCACGCAGGTATACAGTTCAGCATGTATATAGACCATGCAGGTATACAGTTCAGCATGTATATAGACCACGCAGGTATACAGTTCAGCATGTATATAGACCATGCAGGTATACAGTTCAGCATGTATATAAGACCATGCAGGCTACAGTTCAGCATGTATAGACCACGCAGGTATACAGTTCAGTATGTATAGGCATCTCATGCAGGTATACAGTCTAGCATGAATATAGACCACGTATAGTATACATGTGTCTAGCATGTATATAGACCATGCAGGTATACAGTTCAGAATGACATAGACCACCCAGGTATACAGTTCAGCATGCATATAGATCTATGCAGGTATAAGGGTTCATGTATATAGACCACGCAGGCATATTAAAGTTCAGCATGTATATAGACCATGCAGGTATACAGTCTCAGCATGAATATAGACCACGCAGGCATATATGCCCAGCATGTATAGACCATGCAGGTATACAGTCTTAGCATGAATATAGACCACCAGGTATACAGTTCAGCATGTATATAGTATCCATGCAGGTATACAGTTCAGCATGTATAGACCACGCAGGCATACAGTTCAGCATGTATATAGACTCATGCAGGTATACAGTTCAGCATGAATACAGACCACTATATACAGTTCAGCATGTAATATAGACCATGCAGGTATACAGTTCAGCATGAATATAGACCACGCAGGTATACAGTTCAGTATGTATATAGACCACGCAGAAGGTTCAGCATGTATATAGACCACGCAGGTGCAGTTCAGCATGTATATAGACCATGCAGGTATACAGTTCAGCATGAATATAGACCACGCAGGTATACAGTCTAGCATGTATATAGACCATGCAGGTATATGTCTAGCATGGAATATAGACCACCCAGGTATACAGTTCAGCATGTATATAGACCACGCAGGTATACAGTTCAGTATATATAGACATGCAGGTATACAGTTCAGCATGTATATAGACCATGCAGGTATACAGTCTAGCATGAATATATCCACCCAGGTATACAGTTCAGTATGTATATAGATTCACCCAGGTATACAGCTCAGCATGTATATAGACCACGCAGGTAGCACAGTTCAGCATGTATATAGACTATGCAGGCATACAGTTCAGCATGAATATAGACTCATGCAGGCATACAGTTCAGCATGCATATAGCATCTCATGCAGGCATACAGTTCCAGCATGTATATAGACCACGCAGGCATACAGTTCAGCATGTGCACACGCAGGTATACAGCCAGTTACTTTATCATAGACCACCCAGGCATACAGTTCAGCATGTATATAGACCACCCAGGCAGTTCACATGTATATATAGACCATGCAGGCATACAGTTCAGCATGTATATAGACCATGCAGGTATACAGTCCAGCATGTGTATATAGACCATGCAGGTATACAGTTCAGCATGAATATAGACCATGCAGGTATACAGTTCAGCATGTATATAGACCATGCAGGTACAGTTCAGCATGTATATAGACCACGCAGGTATACAGTTCAGTATGAATATAGACCATGCAGGTATACAGTTCAGCATGTATATAGACCACGCAGGTATACAGTCATGTATATAGACCATATGCTCCAGCATGTATATAGACCTGGCTTATATACAGTTCAGCATGTATATAGACCATGCAGGCATAAGCAGTTCAGCATGTATAGACCACCAGGTATACAGTTCATATGTATATAGACTATGCAGGTATACAGTTCAGCATGTATATAGACCACGCAGGTATACAGTTCAGCATGTATATAGACTAATGCAGGTATACAGAACAGCATGTATATAGACCACCTAGGTATACAGTTCAGCATGTATATGATCTCAGGTATACAGTTCAGCATGCATATAGACCACGCAGGTATACAGTCTTGAAGATGTATATAGACCTGCTTAGTATACAGTTCAGCATGTATATAGACCAATCTAGTATACAGTTCAGCATGTATATAGACCATGCAGGTATGTTGAAGTTCAGCATGTATATAGACCATGCAGGTTGTGCTCAGCATGTATATAGACCACGCAGGTATACAGTTCAGCATGTATAGACCATGGTATACAGTTCAGCATGTATATAGACTACGCAGGCATGTCTAGCATGTATATAGGACTACGCAGGTATACAGTTCAGCATGTATATAGCATCTCACGCAGGTATACAGGTTCAGCATGTATATAGACCATGCAGGTATACAGTTCAGCATGAATATAATTCACGCAGGTATAGTCTAGCATGTATATAGACCATGGTATACAGTTCAGCATGTATATAGACCACGCAGGTATACAGTTCAGCATGTATATAGACCATGCAGGTATACAGTCCAGCATGTATAGACCACGCAGGTATACAGTTCAGCATGTATATAGACCACGCAGGTATACAGTTCAGCATGAATATAGACCACGCAGGTATACAGTTCAGCATGTGTATATAGACCATGCAGGTATACAGTTCAGCATGTATATATATACAGTTCAGTATGTACTCAGAGATAGGACTACGCAGGTATACAGTTCAGTATGTATATAGACCACCTAGTATACATGTGTCTAGCATGTATATAGACCCATGCAGGTATACAGTTCAGCATGTATATAGACCACGCAGGTATACAGTTCAGCATGTATATAGACCACGCAGGTATACAGTTCAGCATGAATATAGACCACGCAGGTATACAGTTCAGCATGTATATAGACCATGCAGGTATACAGTTCAGCATGTATATAGACCACGCAGGTATACAGTTCAGCATGTACTGTATATAGACCACGCAGGTATACAGTTCAGCATGTATATAGACCACCCAGGTATACAGTTCAGCATGTATATAGACCACGCAGGTATACAGTTCAGCATGAATATAGACCACGCAGGTATACAGTTCAGCATGTATATAGACCACGCAGGTATACAGTTCAGCATGTATATAGACCACCCAGGTATATAATTTCCGGTGTATAAGGACTCAGAAGCTAGGTAGTTAAACACTGAAGTGTGACTCAACTCAGGACGAAGCACTACATCCTTTTGTCCTCGTCATCATTTGTTGTAAATCGTCTCTTGAAATTCTGAGATTTTTCCTTAACTTCGTCAACCGCCTCATGGTTATGTGCAGCAGTCTCCTTGTAGTCCTGGAGGCAGTGGGTTTGGTCTTGGGTATATATTTATCAATCAAATAGTTCACTTTACAGCCTTTGATATTGAGGGTAATATCTGTGTTCTTATTTCTCAAAGAGTCAGGTCAGTGAATACCCTTCATTCCCTCCATCATCCTGTTGTAATCACTGATGAACCTTGGGCTGCTCTCACTGTATACCGAGTAACAGTTAAGTTAAATCTGAAGGACAACGTGACGTAGTGACTGATGCCAACTGAAGCTAGGTGTTCCAGCTTGGCCACCATATCCTCCTCGTTAGTTATATTTTTACTTTTATCCTCTTCACCACTAATCGGCTCGTTAGCCTCTTGGGTGGTCGGTCGCGTCTCTGTTATGCACTGTTGGCAGATACTGGAAATGCACTGGTTCCTGAATGTATTGGAACCCGCTCTAGTGTTGGTCAAGTCTGGCCTTGAAACAGCTCACACTCGGTGCCGTCACAACGCTCTCCGGCAGATTGTTCCAAGAGTTCACAACTCTCATTCCGAAAAAAATTGCCCTCACAGTTTTCTGGACTTATGACTTCTTCAACCTTAAGCTGTGACCCC